GAGTACTCCCACACACAAACACCCACACACACACACAACCCCAATAGAAATACAGCCAACTCGGAAGGCACACATAGATTGTCACAGCTAAGAAAGTCTAAAAGCCTCTCCGCTGATAGGTCCTGAAACTTTGCTGTGGCTGACACTTCCCTGAAATTTCTTAGTACAAAGTCAGTGGCTTCCTCAAGGAGTTCTGACATCCCATAAGCTTCAGCAAAAGATGCTACATCCAAGCAGGAGTCTGTCTGCATTTCATCACGCATAAAGTTTAGGCAAATCAAGAGTGCAGGCTGGAACTGAAGCTGGAGAGCAGTGCAAGTTATCTCAAAAACGGAGTCCCAGCTGAGAAGAAGAGTTCCACTGTAGGAGCAACTTATTAGAGCCTCTAAATCAGGAGCTGACAGGAAGGGAAGGGCAATCCAGGTCTGATGGGATTCTCTCATTCCACAAGTAAACATTCCTCTGAAGTACTCACTGCATGCTGCCAGGATAACTCTGTGGACTGGAGACAAGTAAAGCTTACAATTTATTATTCATAAAAACACTTAAAAATTACGTCATAAAATCAAACCATGCCAACTAACCATGGAATTGATTTCCATCCACATCCAAAGTTACATCAAATCCAACTTTGTCTGCCCACAGTTGTTCAATGGACTGAAGAGTAGACCTCAAATGTTCTTCTGCAGAGACTGTTGGCTGCTCCTGTTTTGTGAAGGTTTTGTTGCAGAGATCCACCAGTCGTGGGACCTCCAACACTTGAGCTGCAGTCTTGATTTGGGTAATGGTGTCTTTGTTTAAAGATGACACATTTCCACTGTAAGCAAACTCAATAACTGCCTTAAGTCCAATACGGTCAACTTCAGTCCCCATGCTTACTGACCATGTGACTGTTTCCATGTGAGTATCATTTGATTGCTTACTACTTTCTTCCTTCAGTCTCTCCAGAATAAATGTACTGACAGCGGCCAGGACAACTGAGTGAACATGAAAACTGCTTCCATTGTCAGTAGTCAAAGTCAGATCAGTAAGAAGAGAAGAATCATAGAAATATTTCAGAGTCACAAACATGTTTTCTGAAAATGTTTTGCTGCAGCAAGTGTGAACATTATAACCTTCTTCCCCAAAAGCCCCATCATCCATAAGCCCCCTGGTTACTTGGTGACTAGTACCACTCATTCTGACTTCTGATACCTCATTGTTAGTCCACTCATTAATCAGACCCATCCTGGAATCATTGTAAGCAACAATCTTTCTCAGCTCACGATTGTCTTGTTCCATCCCTTCTCCACCTTCTTCAAACACTTTTTTCTTCCTGTCTTTTTCCTTCCTCCATTGTTCTTCCCATTCCATTGGAAGGTAGCGTTGGGTGAACTCCATGTCAGTGATGATGCTCTCCTTTTGTTACAAATACCTTTGTTTTCTGTGGTATTTACAGTTACCACTGATATCTAATAAAAAAAAACGTGTTTTGTGATTTTATCGAAGGCTTTCTCATCCACTCCTCTCAAACTTCCCTTCTGCTCTATTCCTCTGTCTCTCCCTGGACTCAAGTTAGCAACATAAACAAGTGACTATTAATAGTTACTGGGTCAGAAAGATTCTGTTTCAAGAGTCTCTGGTCATCAGCCGCATTGAGGCACTATTAGAGAAAACATAGACTTTAGAGTTAAAATTTGGGTCAGTAATAAGGAGCAAAGCGAGCATTTTAATTGTATTAAACTTTGACACTAATAAAGGTTTAAACCCAAAACAAAGCTGAAGGATTCTGAGGACTTCTGTGTGAAGCTGCTCTGATAATAGTGTACTTTTTAATTTGTAGGAGAAGATTGTTGTTGACAGAATACTTTTGTATAATCTACCTGGATTATTGAGCATGCATCAGGTTGTAAATCAGTAAAATGAAGGTGGAGTGGCTGAAGAAGTCCTTTTGATCAAAGATGTTTCAACAAAGAAGAATCCATCCAGAAGACCTGACTCAACCTTGATAGACTTTTACATAATATTTTAACTTTACAAGCGTTTGATATGTTCTAAACATTTGCACTTAGTTTAATCTCAATTTACCATGCATGCTTGCATTATGCCCTCAAAACAAAATATAGCTTTTAACTCCAATAAATTTAAATTTCTCCATTATGGAAATGGAAATATCAATATCATGATGTTGAATGGACCATCAACTGTTGTATTTTGTCATTAGAAAAACAAAACCATGGTGGAAAGTTGTAAACATAAACAATAATTTTACTATTACTCTATAAAAACAAGTTAAAATGTTTATGTTGCTCAGACAAGTAAGTGAATGGTCATTTCAAACTGTCCAGTGACATTAAACACATGGAAATTCATCCAATCATCCATCTATCCATCCATCCATCCATCCATCCATCCATCCATCCATCATCCATCCATCCATCTATCCATCCATCCATCCATACATACATACATACATACATCTATCCATCCATCCATCCATCCATCCATCCATCCATCCATCCATCCATCCATCCATCCATCCATCCATCCATCCACCCACCCCTTGCATCTGTCCATCCATCCATCCATCCATCCATCCATCCATCCATCCATCCATCCATCCATCCATCCACCCACCCCTTGCATCTGTCCATCCATCCATCCATCCATCCATCCATCCATCCATCCATCCATCCATCCATCC